CGTCTACGTCTACGTTTGTGTCTATGTCTATGTCTATGTCCATGTCCATGTCTGTGTCTATGTCGAGTCTATGTCTATGTCTATGTCTATGTCTATGTCTATGTCTATGTCTATGTCTATGTCTATGTCTATGCCTATGCCTATGCCTATGCCTATGCCTATGCCTATGCCTATGCCTATGCCTATGCCTATGCCTATGCCTATGCCTATGCCTATGCCTATGCCTATGTCTATGCCTATGCCTATGTCTTTGTCTATGTCTATGTCTATGCCTATGTACAAGTCTACGAGTCTACGAGTATACGTCTACGTCTATGACTACATCTATGTCTACGTGTACGTCACGGGCATATGCTGATGTATTTCTATAGTATTTTATAGATGAATATATGCCATTTTGCTCATATTTGTATACATGTTTTTGTCTATATGCATACATGCGTATATGCATAGATGTTTGTGTGTATATATATATACACATACGCATATATGTTTTATATGTACTTCTTTACTTATACCAATATTGTGTGTGTATATATGTATATACTTATGTATTTGCATTTATGCATGGATGCACGAATGAATGATGAGTGAATTGAATTGAATTGAACTGAATTGAATTGAATTGAACTGAATTAAATTGAATGAACGCATAAATGTATTTTCGTCTGTTTTCTAACTGGGTGTTACTGTCAGGGCAAGAAACAATTCAGAGCTCCAACATATTGAACTCAGGGGCATAGGATATAGGAGACATAGATGTAGATTCAGACATAGACATAGACAACTTTTGATTATTGAAATTTCTTCAGCCCCTCAGCCCAGCTTCAAGCCATCAGCCCAACGTGGCATCAGTGTAAAGCCAACTGTGTGGGGACATGAGCAACATTTTGGCTTTTGGGAGAGCTCGCTCTGGCTAGCTGGTCAAACGATGCAGCTGAGACAAGCTGACCTGATTGCAGAGAACGGGGGGCGCCTGCGCGTATCCACTTCCAGACTCGGATGTGCCTCAGTAAACAAACAACCCAACCCAACTGGAGCCCCAGCCCGCGAGGATGCCCATGAAGCTATGGGGCTCCAGCTCTAGCCAACCCCTGCCCTAGCTGATGACCATGATGCGCGGCTTGGACAGGTTCACTCAAGGCTTGGCTGACGCTCAAGCATAAGGGACCACTCTTTCTTTGTATTGCCCAGCCCAAGTCTCAGTTGCTGCTTACGTGGGGCATCATTCGTGCGCCGAATCTGGGCCCTTGGTTGTTCTACCAGCCCATCAACATCTAGCTTTGTATATTGTTGGGAACAGGGTTAGCAGCAAAGCTGTGTGCAATACTTGTAACAGAAACTTTATTAAAGTGTTGTGAGCTGCAAACGTCGCTGCAAAGGTAGTTGCAAAAAAGTTGCAATCGTTTTTTTCCGGGCCGGGGAGTTGCAAAACGGAGTTGCAAAAAAGTTGCAAAATAGTTGCAAAATAAGATTTTTCATAGAATCCCACCCGTAGCAGGGCAGAGCATCTCATAAGTTTAAGATAGGATGATACCGGAATCGCCAAACGGGGGGCGTGTTTGAGATAGGATGCTTCCGGAATCGCCAAGTGAGGGGGGCGTTTAAGATATACGATCATACCAGAATCGCCAAATGCGGGGGCCTTTTTACATAGGCAAATTAGGGTAGGGATCAGGTTCAGGGCTTGGTGTTTAGGGTTTACGGTTCCGGCAAAACTAGGATACACCAGGATAGGGATGTCCCATACAATCGTCCCAGTATGATACCCAGTCAAGTAGGCCATGTGATTTGTTTGCTTATCCTTGTGTTCTTTATGAGCCTATAATTATAATTAGCCTTCAACCCTAAACCACAAACCCTAAGACTCCAAACCCTGGCTTTAAAGGTTGTTGTAATCCCAGATAACCCATAAACCCTAAACCCTAAAGATATAAAGTTCCCGCGGAGCTGCCTGAGGATCCCCGCCGAGTCTTTCCCGAGCTCACGCCGCAGCCCGTGGCCGCGGCATCTTTGGGCCAGGCCAGGTGGCTACGGGTCATGTTTCAGGGTTTAGGGTTTAGGGGGGCTTAAATAATTACCTATACTTACTATTTTGGGGGTTCCCTATTTTTAATTGTAGCATAATGGGCTCCAAAACCCTATTCTAATTATTAAGGCCCCTATATCAGGCTTTAACCGTAAAACCTTATAAGCCCTACACCCGAAACCCTGATGCGTTTAGGGTTTGGGGCTACCGTCCCTCATCAATGCATGCAACTTTCCCAAAATGTGCACAGAGCTAAGCCCTCAACTCTAAAGCCCTGCCCCTGAACCATAAACCCAGCCTAAGCCCCAAACCCCTGACCCACACTTAGCCTAAACCCTAAACCCTTATAGATCCATATAGATCCCTTCAAAGAACCCTATTCCTAAGATCCCTTAAAGGAACCTTACACCCAGCCTAGGCCCTAAGCGCTAAGCCCTAAGCCCTAAACGCAGAGGGTCCATAGGACTTGGGGCGTTTGGGGCTCGGTGGGATCATGTTTAGGGTTTAGGGGTTCAGGGTTTAGGGGTTTAGGGGTTTAGGGGTTTAGGGGTTTAGGGTTTAGAGTTTAGGGTTTAGGGCTTTAGGGGCTGAGGGTTTAGGGATCAGGCTCCGAATGCCTGGCGAACTCTTCGTATCAGGGTCCGGATGCTAGGGTTAAGGGTTCAGGGTTCTGGGTTTAGGTTTAGGGTTTGGGGCCAGTTTAGGGTTTCGGGTTTAGGATTTAGGGTTGAGGGTTTTGGGTTTAAGGTCTAGGTTTTGGGTTGGGTTTAGGGTTGAGGGATGCTACTGGTGGGGTTGGGATCGCTGGTTTCGTGTCTGGGAAGTTGATACCGGATACTGTCAGGGGTCGTAGCATTGTCCCTTTAGTTTCCAGTCCGTATCTAACTACACTGAAACATGCCCCAAAACCCCATTCTAGTTGTTGAGGCTTGCCAATAAGGAATCGGTGAACGCCGAGCCGTTAAGCCCAAGATGTGTTGGTAATTGCGAACATGTTGGTGGTGCTGGTGATGCTGGTTGGTGGTGGTGGTGGTGGTGGTGGTGGTGGTGGTGGTGGTGCTGCTGCTGCTGCTGCTGCTGCTGCTGCGGCTGCTGCAACAGTAACAGCCAGGTGTTGTTCGTGACTGGGTAGCGGTCTTCGTGATAGTCGCAACAGCTGTGGCGATAGCAGCGGCGCTAGCACTTGCAAAGGCAATATCACTGGAAGCCGCGGTGCAGCCGTCATGTCTGCAATGCTGAACCCAAACCCTAAATCCTAAATCCTAAACCCTAAACCCGAAACCCTAGACACCAAACCCCTAAACTCCTAAGCCCTTTAAAGCATTAAACGAAACCCTGGTTGCATTGCCCGGGCGGCGCGAGGTCTACCGTGGCCGCTTGCGGAACGGCGCCGAGGTCGCAGTGAAGGCGCCGAATCTTGGGTCTCCCTGTGGCTCCTTGCAAAGGCTTCAGGATTTTAGGGACTAAGGTTCAGGGTTTAGGGCTTAGGGTTTAGGGTTTAGGGTTACGGGCTTATCCCTCTAGGGGTTCTGTTAGGGGTTCTCCTGAGTGTTACTTTCAAGGGTTCCTCTAAGGGGTTCCTTTAAGGGTACTATAGGGGTTTAGGGTTTAGGGTATAAGCGTCCATGTAATATATAGTATGTACTTAGGCTTTAAAGGGGTTCCTATACAGGTGCTTTGAGGCTAGAGTATATACTACATAGGTCTGAGTTTGAAACCTTAAACCGTAACCCTAAACCCTAAACTTGAAAGGGGTTCCTATACAGTTATAGGTCGAGAAAGGTACATGGATCCTCGGGGTCTGCGTTTCGTTTTAGAAGTGTTTTAGAGTTGTGTATTTTAGTGCCTTCCTAGACCCTTTAAGACCTGAGGACCTAGGGTTAAGGGTTCACGGCTTCGGGCCTTGGGTTTAGGGTTTAGGGTTTAAGGTTTAGGGTTTGAGGTTTAGGGTTTAGGGTGTTGGGTTTAGGGTTTAAGGCCTTAGGGTTTAGGGTTTAAGGTTGAGAGGGTTTCGGGTTTGGGGCCTGGGGTTTTGGGTGTTAAGGCCGTCCGGGGTAACGTTGAAGTATAAACTTGTGACTGTGAGTGGTGTTTAGGATCTCGGATGCAAGCTAAGCGACCTAAACAGCACAGCTGCTGAGAAAAGATAGAAGCAAAAATAATAACCGGTACTATTCCTTAGGCCTCCTTCTTGTGTACTACTAGTATCCTGTACCACAAAACCCAGTTGAAGTCCTTAAGACGTCGATACTCAACGCCATATTACTCCCTACAGCAACCCTTCTATAGAACCCTTTCAAGAAACTCCTTTTCAGGGACCCTGCCACAAGTTTTTGTGGCCCCTATATGAGCCTTGAACCCCAAACCCCATAAAATATAAGCCTTTTGTAGATCCCTTATACAGCCCCTATAGATCCCTCATAGAGTTTTTGCAGATCTCCTATAGAGCTCCTATAGAAGCTCTGTAGATCCGTTATAGAGCCCCGAGCTTGAACCATCCCTCAGTGTCCGTCGTGTTCATGCCATCTGAGCACGCCAAATCCGAAGTCCTGAATCCTGTAATCCGAAACCTCAGGGTACACTTGCTGTACACTGACTTTAAGGGCGCCTTTCAGGGATCCATAAGGACCTGTCGGGCTTCAGGGTTATACTGTCGCAACCTGATAGAAAAGCCCTGGGTCAGGTTCCGACATTAATGCCCAACCAAGAGCCTCAAAAACTGGCAACAAGCCTCATTGCCCTTTCAAAACCCCAAACCCGAAAACCCCAAGCCCCAGAACCCTAACTTTGTTTGCCTTAAACCCTAAACACAGGAACCCGACATGTGCAACTTTCAGAACTAAGGTTCCTTTCAATAGTTCTGCTGTAACATAATCCCAAGCCCGATCCTTTCTAATTAGTGTTTAGGGTTATGGTTTAGTGATTTAGGGTTGAGGGTTTAGGTCTCATCTGCCCCGAACCCTGCTCGGAAACCCTGCAGCCTAAACCCTAGACCTTAATTGCACATAGTCCCAATTGAGGTACTTACAGCCCTAGTTACTAAGTTCCAGGATCCGTTACAGTAAACCCTAAGCCCCAAACCCTAAAGCCTAGGCCCCTAAACCCGAAACCCAAGAGATTATTGAAACCCTGCAATACCCTGCAACCAGGTTCAACGTCCGGGACTGAAGGCCGGGATATCCAAGCCTTGCGCGGTGGCTTCCCAGATTTTCCAGTATCCCTTAATCAAGAAATATACCGTGAATCATATCAAAGATCCGATCTTGTTCCAAGGTATAATCCTTAATTAAGGGATATTTTGTCTCTGGGTTTCCTTCCGTCTGTTGGGGTTTAGGGCTCCTTTAAAGGGGGTCTATAGGGGTCTCAGTGTTCTTTTAACTGGGTTCTATACAGGATCTGTAAGGTTCAGGGATTGGGGTTTAGGGGTTTAGGGGCTTAGGGGCTTAGGGGTTCAGGGTTCAAGGGTTTAGGGTTTTGAGTATTCAGCGCTTAGGGTTTAGGCAAGGAGGTTGCCTGCGACATTTTGAGCTTGCTTTTGGGTCTGTTACGTGGATGTACGGATGTTCGTGCGATTGCTTCAAACCAGGTTTGGGAACAACACATATCTATTGGGGCTGCTGGGGGGTAAGGGGGGGGGGGGCGATAGTCGTATCACCACAATAGAACTGGCCACATGGTGATGGGCGGGCAGTAGTACAAACAGCGATACGGTAGCAGTTTTCATCAGGACGCTAGACCCCAAACCTCAACGGGTAATAGTTTCAATCAGGACACTAAACCCTAAACCCTAAAGGGAAATAGGTTCAATCAGGACATCTTGGTCCTGGACATGTACATCTTCCGGACGCAGGGCCCTTGGCATACGCGGTGCTGAGGTAAAAACGGAGGTTGAGGGTAAGGGATCTCGACTTCTGGGGCTGTTGGAAGGTTTAGGGTTTTGCGGCTTAGGGTTTAGGGTTCAGCCATTACTTTTCAGATTTAAGGCCCTAAGCCCTAAACCCTAAACCCTACACCCTAAACCCGCGACCCCAGGAGCAACCCGAAGCCCTCTTGGCCTGGAACTCCAGGGCCCGAAAGACCCACTGGCTACACCCAGAGACTCCAATAACCGTATTCGAAGTATGAAGGCCCCTTTATTAGGGTTCAGGGCTTCGGGAATTTAGGGTTTAGGTTCTAGGATTAGGGTGGAAGGGGTCGACCCAGAGACTCCAATATCCCTTAGTTAAGGTATATACCTTGAATGATAGCAGGATCCCTAATGCGATTGAAGGTAAATTCCTCAAAAAGGGCTATTGGACTCTCTGGGAATGTGTTTGCCTGCCTCTGGTTCAGGTTGAGGGTTTTAGGGTTTGCAGTTTTAGGATTTAGGGTTTAGTGTGTAGGGGTTACTGACAAGCTTCCCTTATATTAAAGAGATATGACACAGGAACATGTGTAGAAACAGTCGAGCCCTGATTGTGAAGGGGCACTCGGGAACTAAGTTCTGCAAGGCTGGCGCAGCTGCTGAACGACTGGGCGCAAACGCCACCGGTCTGCACCGGTAACACAAAGGTTTGAGGGTTTAGGGTTTAGGGTTTGGTATGAATTTGGGGTTTAGTGTTTAGGGTAGTTCCTCTTGTAACCCTCATATACGACCCTTATCTAGCTTATCATGAAGGCCCCGCAATTTCTTCAGGGTTTGGGCGGTTTGGGTTACACGATACACAAAAACCCTAAACCCTAAACCCACCACGGCAGGAATCTGCAAACAACCCTAAACCCTTAACTTAAAAAGGGGAACGGAGGTGTTGTTCAGGCCCGGCAGCAGACGCACATGGACTTGTAATGCTGCAAGTACTGTATTGGCGTAAATAATTACCTATACTACTGCTGGTTATAATATATATATATATATATATCCTGCACTACCTTGAGGACCCTAAGCTATGGGAATTATGGTATGCTCCTTACTATGGGTAATGCAGGATTTATATCATCAACCGTATTTTTGGGGGGCGTTCCTTATTATAGGTATAGTATATTGGGCCCCAAAGTTAAGGCCCCTGCATTACGTCCTTGGTACATGTCTGCATTTCTACGAGTACGCGCGTGTTCGTAGTATTTGTGTATGGGCCCAGATCTTCTAAATTCCCTAAACCCTAGACCCCAGACCCTAAACCCTAAACCCTAGACTCTAGATCGCCCGTTCCTTTGCAGCGCAGTTTGCGTGTTGCGCCCCTAGTTTGGCCAAAACCGTGGTGGGCCACTCTCCAACCTCAGGATGAGGATGACTGCCAGCCAACTCCCGCTGGTGCCATAGCACCCCACGTTGTTCTGGGTCGCTTCCGAAACAACATGGACTTCGATGCCTTCCTCCAACAACGGGCCCGAGCGGTTGAGAACGGTGATACAGCGGCCCTACGCGATTTCTTTTCCCTTCAACACGAAGGGGCGCCTGCATGGCTTTTGGCCTGCAAGGTGGCGATAGCCCTCCACGACGGCCAGCGGGGAACTTTTGTACAGGTAAACCTGGCCGTTCGAGTTGAGGATGGTTTTGCGCTGCTCGGCCCTGATCAGGCCGTACAGGCAGTGGTCGAACGCGACATTGACCTGCTTTACGTCTACCGACACTGGCTGCACCGGAAAAAACCCTAGACCTAGATCCTAAATCCTAAACCCTAGATGCTTTAATGATGGAGTGTAAACCTGGGGACCGAAAAAACCTTGCTTTATGGGGTTCTACCCAAAAACTAAGGGGTCATAACCTACTGTTTTGTAGGGTTTTCGGTCACAGGAATTGAATCATATGAGGGATTCTACTGTCAAGGTATATTCCTTAAATTACATGTCCTCGGCAGTAGTGACCAGCCAAGACATCCTAACCCCAATCCCTAAACCCTAAAGCCCTTAAACCCTGAAGCCGTAAAGCCTAAATCCCAAAACCCTTCAAACCCTAAACCCTGCAGCCCTCAACCCCAAACCCTGAAACCCTAAACCGTAATTCCTAAACCGCAAACCCTGGCCGGCCCTGAGCGCGAATCCCTGAAGCCCTAAATAAAGCCCTAAACCGCAGCTCCGCAACTCGTTGATTGCACCCCGAGGAATCTGGGGTGCAATGCGACCCTCGTTGTCGACGAGTTTGCCAAGAAGCTGTGGGAGGCTGCGTCACGGACGATGGCCTTTAGGGTTTAGGGTCTAGGCTCTAGGGTTTAGGCTTGAGGCTTTAGGCTTTAAGGGATTCAGGGTTTGCTTGCACTTAATCCTAGTCTAGTTGATTGAAAAAGAAAGAGTGATATTCATACTATAAGACAGGATCAGACTAAGCTGAGACTGAGAATACCAACTTGATACTGCCGTCACAACTTCGCATGAGAATAGTATTAACAGTCATAATCATAATCATAAGAAGATAGCCTGACAACAGCAGTCGCAGCAGTATCGTGCAACCCGAAAGGCCTCCACTTCCCAGAGACTCCACAACAAAAGCCTGAGTCGAGGAATATACCTTAGATTATGGCAAGATGTCTCTACAAGTTAAGTTATGGGAGTTTCCGAAAATAGGGGGCCCTAATATAGTACCCTATATAGTAGGATCCCTATTATAAGGACCCCTAAATAAGGTACCCCCAAATTTCGGAAACCCCCAGTTATCTTCCTTAGCTAAAGGGTTTTGGAGTGTCTGGCCAGGAAGCAGACTACGCCCACGAAGCTAAGAACGCCGAGATGTTCCGGCGCAACTTCGAGGAGCGGTTCTAGGGTTTAAGAGCCGAAGAAGGGTTTAGGGTTTAGGGTTTAGGGTTTAGGGGAAGAGTCTAAACCCTTCCTGGATCCTAAAGAACGTGCCTTTTTTTCGAAGAAAAAGGCGAGGTCTGGGGGAACCTTCGTGGGATATGGCGATAAGCGGGTGTAGGTGCTTGTCTAGGTGCAAAACGACACTGCTTGCATAGGAACGTTAAGACCGGGCTAAACCCTAAATCCTAAACCCTAAACCCCAAACCCTAAACCCCGAGCCCTAAATTAAATCCCAAGCCCTAAACCCTAAGCCCTAAGCCTGCATGTTCATGCATCTCGCAACTGGGAGCAGGGTTTAGGGTTTAGGGTTTAGGCTACTGACACTGATAGCTGCTGTTGGAGGGGCGTAGGATTTGAGATGTGGGGTTTAGTAAATAAGCATTGTGTGCTGATAGCGCTTGTAATGCCATTGACCCCATTTGCACGAGACCTCGCTCCCCATCTGGCAAGGCGGATGAATCTGTGAAGATACCGAAGGCGCCTTGCCCATTGAGAGGGTTGGCATTGCAATTTCGATGCCAGGTGTCGCCATGCGACGCATCGTACACATAGCATCACTGCTTGTGTCAGCATTATCATCTCTACATGCGCCACCAAATCTGTTTTCTGCAGTATGCTGTCGTTCAATGAATTCAATCGTGTTCAGAAGTCTTCCTCCTCATGGTTTCCTGGTTTGCAGCCAGGTCTTCATGCAGTACGTCCGGCAGAAGGTTCTGGCCTGAAGCAAGAGTCATCTCCAACTGTGCTTCTTCCCAAGTTCGCACATTGGAATAGGTGTGGGTTGGAAGGCGGAGGCTTTTAACAAGCCCGAAGCCCTAAACTTTCCCTAAGCCCTAAGCCCTAAATCCTCAACCCTAATCGTCCCTAGATTAAAGGTTAAGCCCTAATTCCGAACCCGAAAACCTTAAACCCTCCGTGGTCGTCCGGTGGCGTCTGCAGAGCAAACACCAAAGACTATACTCTACGGTTCCCTTAACAGAGTTCCCGTTTTAAGGGCTCCAATAGAGTTCTTTATAAGGGTTTGGGGTTTTGGGTTCGGTCGCCTTAATAATTAGAGTCGGGTTCCTTTAAACGTGTTTCTTCTCAGGCCTTCTTCTAATACTATGGAGGTTAATATAGGGGCTTGAATAATTTGACTAGGCTTTTCAGGTGTATTCTATTATACGTCAAACGATACGAGGAGCCCTAAGGAAAACTTTGACTGATTTTTCAGACTCCTACATTGCTATGCTGGGTTTTGTCCCATGTCACGCTTTCTTCCAAGGTGGCAGGCTCTGGGATTTGTTTTTGTTGTTTTTCTTTGGGGCTTGGCCCTGAGTTAGAAATCCGATCTCGATATTATACAAGCGTGAATAATATCGAAGACTATTCCTGACGGTTCCTTATTGCAAGCAAATTACAGTATACACCCTAAACCCTAAACCCTAAACTTTAAACCCTAAACCATATAGGTCTCCGTTTCGACAATGGGCTTGCTGACCCCGGACTAGCCTCGCATGTCATTTCCAAGGCCACAGTTTACAGTTTAGGGTTTAGAGTGTGCAGGGAAGCTTGATCCGTTCCTGAAGGGTCCCTAACCCTAAACCCGAAGCCGTGAGCCCTAAACCCTGAGCCCTTAACCCAGGGACCCACAGCCTTGAACCCAAGATTAGGGATGCTTCGGCTGAGAAGTGGTGGAACCCTTACCGCAATATGTACGGTTTGGTATATGCTCTGTCCCAAAAGTACTTGTATGGGAACTGCTGTAAGGCCGAAGTATGTGGTATATGAATACATCGGCCATTAGGTTTAGTGCAGAATCGCTGCATGTCATCCAGACTTGTGACTTGTCCATCTTACTTTAAGACACCGAAGCCCTCGCCAATAAAACCTCACCCTAGACCCTTAACCCGAAACCCACAAATCCCAACCCTAGATCCTGAACCCTTAAACCTTAATCCGTAAGCCCTTGAACCCACAGTCCCTCATCCTGGCACGACATAGTTAATCCCCTGAGCTGAAAATGCCCAAGGCCCTTACCCAACTATAAAAACTCTACAGGCACTTATAGAGCTCAATAAAACCCCGTCAAACCCTACGGAAGGCCTCTATACCGTGTTTATTCGATCCCTTGGAGAGCGGCTTTACAAACCCGAGAAAGCGCCAACAGAACCCTGGCAAGCCCTTGTAGAACCCCTAGAAGGCTCGTCTGAAATTTTGCGAAGCCTAAAAAACACTGTCACGCGTTTCTAAAGTCTCTACACACGCAAGGCCATCACCATGAAGCCCCCACGAAGCCCTGAGAAGACCCTATAGATTATTGATGAAAATTCGTATTCAAGGTTTGGGGTTTAGCTTCGTTTGTAGCCAGTATAAAGTCCCACAAACCCCAAACCCCCAAAACCCCAAACCCGAAGCCTTAAGCCCAAAACCCAAAGCCCTAACCTCTAAACCCCTAAACCCCTAAAGCCCCAACGCCCTAAGCCCAAAGCCAAAACCCCTAACCCCCCTTAAAGGATCCCGATGGAGCCCCAATAAAACGAACCCCTAAACCCTAAGCCCTAGGTCATCACACCCTAAACGCTAAACCCTAAGCCCTGGGTCATCACACCCTATACGCTAAACCCGAAGCCCTAGGTCATCACCATGGAGCCGCCTCCTGAGACCTTTGGTTTCTGCTGGAGGGACCCGGCAAAATGACTAGGGATTCTCTGCATGATCCCCTACAACTTGGGTCGTTCAGGGTTTGGGGTTTAGGGTTCAGGAGGGGTTTAGGGTTGGGGGTTTAGGGTTTTAGGGTTTTAGGGTGGGGTCTAGGGGTTTGGGGTTGAGGGTTCAAGGGTTTAGGGCCTAGGGTCTAGTCGGTCTTGAGGCTTTGGGCGCTTTTTTGTAGAGTTTCCCAGATCCCGGAAGGATCTAAAAAGTGGATCCCTTGGGACCCTATGCTACTAAAGGCTGCTTTTTTCGAAACTTAGGGGATCTACTTTTTGGATGCACCCACCAGGGGTCTGGCTTGGGGGGAGCCGGGAGATGAAGTGCAACCCGGAAGTGAGCATACTTGGAGGGTCGGGGGACTTAGTAAATGGTTATTTTATAGACTTATAAGTACAATAACCCCAATTAGGGTCCCTTTTAGGGTACTTATAAGTCTACTTATTCCCTACTTACTAAGTCTCCCGACCCTCCAAGTAGGAACACTAAGGCTTCTTCGTCGCAGCTCATTAGACGGTTTAGAGTTTACGGTTTAGGGTTTAGGGTGACAATATTCCTGCTTGTCACAGGTGTCGTTGTGGTGGCAGCCTTCAGAACCAGAGAACATGTGATCAGTTCTCGCTTCACCAGTCAGTTGCAGCGTTGATATACAGGTATTGATAGTGTCTTCGTGTGGTTCCTTCTGAATAGACCTAGTATATCGCCAAAACCCTTCCATACAGGCCCCTTTGTCACCCAAGTTACTAAATCACCCACGCAGAAAGGTTTCTGCCCTCTAGGCCCTAAACCTTATTCTCCCCTGTCGTATCTCCGTCAGCTCTTGATAGTTCTTTCTTGCGTGGCAGAGCTGCAGTGCAATGTTGCATGTAGCTTGGATGTCAATCAAGTGGGCCTACTTAGCAGATCATGGGACTCAGTAAGTAGGGTTATAAATACCATACTTGGGGTATAAGTAACTATAGCTGCAGTGACATAATTTATCATCCTAGTCACTAAGTCCCATGATCCTCTAAGTGGACCCGAAACCCTCAACACTTAAACGGAACTCTTAAAGCGGTTCCTACTATAGAGCCCTATAGTACCCTTAAGAGGAGGGGAAAAAGGTTCAGGGCTTAGTGTAAACCCTTAACCACAAGCCCGAAACCCTCAACCCTAAACCCTCAACCCTAAACCCTAAACCCTAAACCGAAAGATTGAGGCTATTGGGTTTCCAGGGTTTTGGGATTCTCGAAGGTGGATCGATGGCATCAAGAGCACCGACCTAAGAGAGCTCAGGCGGGAGTAGAGTGGTCGTGTGTGGCAGAGTTTTAGAGTGTCGGGTTTGGGGTTTACGGGTCTAGCAGTGTAGGGGCTCAGGGGTTTCAGGGTTTGGGGGTTTCAGGGCTTGGGGGTTCAGGGTTTAGAGTTTATGGGTGTAGGGCCTAGCGTGTGGAGTTTAGGGTTCAGGGTTACGGCAAGGGACTCGCACAGGCGTAGCAAGAACGGCCGAGACTTTGTTTGGGGAGAGCTTCAGGCCTAGAGGCTTTCCCCAAACCCTAAACCCCAAAGTGGATCGATGATGCCGACCTTCAAGAAGGGCTTAGGGTTCAGGGAACCCAGAGACCCCTTGTAGTAAGGGTCCACCTTTGATCATATTGGGGATCTTACTAGAATTTCCTTAATCAAGGGCTGTTGGAGTCTCTGCGAAACGCTTGGAGTTCAGGCTTTCCGGTTTAGGTCCCCAGCAGCAGCACATGGGTACTTCTCTAAAGTAGGGCCTATAAGGGTTTCCATAGGGTTTCTATAAGGGTAGTTTATTGGAAAGGTAGTTTATTGGCCGACTTAAAGGTCCTGTTATAAGGGTGCAGTACTATTTTGGGGACCAAAAAAGGGACCCAAATCTAGAGAACTATCCCCACAACACTAGTAACACACAGCTGGCTAACTTACGTTGCTGAAGGTGAAGCCCAAGACCAACCCACATGGCCATCTTCCTCAATGGCAGTAGGGTTTGTTAATCAAGGGTCTGGGTTTGGGGGGTCGGGTTTAGGGCCGTAGGGGTTACTTATCAGTCAACCAACACCCAAAACCCTGAATCCTGAACCCCAACTCTAAACCGGCTCTGGGATAACACCTGTGCACTCTCCTCGGCCGCCACAGGCGCAAGGGCATCGACGTGGATGAATTCATCCGCAATGGTGTGCAGGCTCATTTGGGGTTGTAGGGGTTTTAGGGTTTGGCATTCAGCGTTTTTGCCTTAAACGTGCTAGTTTTGGGGTTGCTGGGAAGACGTTCCTTTGCGGTGCGTAGTGTAGGGCTCATTTCTTTAACACGGCACCTCTTCCAACAAAAGTGTCTGACTCGTACAAACCAACCAGCGACGTTTTTCGCGACGACAGCTTCATCCCTGAGCCCTAAACCCTAAACCCCAAATCCCGAATGGGTAGCTCTCTAAATTAGGATCTCTTTTAGGGTGCCTTAGTTTAGGGTTTGGGATATAGGGTTTAGAGGGATTCTTAAAGGAATGTAAAGGGCTTTTGTATTAAATCCGAAATCGCAAACCTAAAGACCGAAACACGAACCCCTGCACCCTCAAATGATCACAATCCTTCAGGCAGCTTCGTGCCAAAACGCCCTAACCCGTAAATCCTGTCGAGCATCCTACAGAAACTCTATAAACTATAAAGAAGTTACCATAATTTTTAAAACACCGATAAAAGCTGTATGAAAGCTTTACACAGCCTGTAAAAGCGCTATACAGCCTCTAAAGAGTTTTTAAAAGCTTGTAAGAAGCTATGAAAACCCTCTAATTTTGTTTTGTACTCTATGAGCCCCACACCCCGTAAAGCCATGAGAGCTCACATAGGGATGCTACTACTTCGAGTTCTGGTTCGGCACCCTAAAGTGCCCAGACAGACGGCCTGGAGACAGGCCCTAAACCCAAAACCCTAAACCTTAAACCCCAAACCCCTAAACCATGAACCCTAAACCCCTAAACTCTAAACCCTGTAAAACCCTAAACTCAGCAAGAGCCTCCAAAGTCCCAGGGCCG